CGTCGCGCGCGGCTCCTCTCGCGCGCCTTCGCGCCAGGCGACGTCGCCTCGGCGTCGCGAGGTGCGCTCCCCTCGAGTCGCTCCGAAGCGGCGCCCGAGCCCCGCTACTGCGCAGCGGCCAGCCATGTCCCGCCATGGTGCGAGCTCGGGCGACGCCCACGCAGGCAGCTCCCGCGCGGACTCCGCTGCTCAGGCCCCTCAGTCTTCGGTAGGCACGCGCTCCTCCAGCGATGCTGTTGCGGCCCCGCAGGGCGGGGGGCGTGCCGCCGAGAAAAGGGGGTCTTCGAGCGGCCCCGCGCCTGGCCGAGATTCAGGGCACGAGCTGCATCCCAGCGGCTCCCACAGCGGCGACGCTGGGAGCGCCGCGGCTGCAGCCTTCGCAGCGCGGCGCACGGCCTCCGCGGCCGTTGAGCAGCCCTTGCCTCCAGGGGCCGCCACCGCCCTAGCGTGGCGTCTCAACCTCGGCGGTGAGAAGGTCACAGTGGTGAGGTGGGGACCCGCCTGGCAAGCTGCCTTCCAGAGCGCGGCGTCGTGGCTGAGGTCTTTCGCACCCGCAGGGGCCGCCGAGCCCGAGGGCAGAGATGACCTGCACTGCCTCCTGCAGGCCTTGCACGCCTATAAGCGCCTGTTTCAGACAGGCGGCGCCGAGCCGATCGACGAAGCCTCGTGGTTGCATCCTTACGTGGCCGCCGTCGAGCCCGAGGCTATCCCCGCGGGCGCTGACCTCCAAGCCATGGGGGCGGGCGCCATCCGTGGCATCGGGCTCGGCTCAAAGATCGAGCACAGGAGGCGCGCGGGCAAGTTGGCCTGCCTTTTCGACCTTCTGTACCACGTGCAGGACGGTCACGGCGCCATCCCAGCAGCGCTGTGGGGATCTCATTCCCCTCCGTCCGAGATCCTCGACGCGTTCGCGGAGGTGGTGCCCGTTCCACATCATTCGGGCCTCACGTCCTCGGCAGCTCGTTCCGAGCTCGCCGAATCGGCCGCAGCTGCGCGCGCCGAGCCGCGCCCGCCCTTTGACTGGGCGACCCTCGAGGGAGGGGACGCTCTGCCCGCCGAGATCGAAGCAGGGGCTCGCCGTGCTCACCGTAACATGGGCGGATCCTTCACCTCGGCGCGGGCGATGCTGGCGGAGGCGTCGGGGTTCGAGACCGACGGGCGGGACACCCTCGTTCCGCCCTTCTACGCGTCCAGGAGCAGGAGGGCCGCCACGCTGATCAGCTCTCCCAGCCCTGGCCGCCCTGCGCTCATCCTGTGGTGCGTCTGCGGCCTCTGCATCTCTCTGGGAGCCGCGGCGCCGACCGCAGGCCAAGGGCTTAGTCGGGCTGCGCCTTCCGCGCCCGCTCGCCCTCCGCGCACTCCCTTCGTGCGCGATTCTCACCTCACCTCCGCGTATCTCGATCGTCGCTCGAGATCGATTGATGCGTTCGAATTGTGGTTAGCAGAACACACTGGCGTGCCGCCCGCCACTCTTTACCGTAGCGGGATACTTCTCGCCCGCTTTCTCGCGACCTTCGGCGCGTGGCTTCATGATGCAGGTTTCCCTCATTATATTCTGGTTCATGCCATCTTGGGAATCCAGAGCGCTCATCCGCATTGGAAGGCCTTTCTAACAGAAGCTTGGGACGTAGCGAAACAATGGAAGCTCGCGGAGCCGCCAAAGCTCCGCCCGCCCTTACCTCGCGCTCTGCTGCGCGCTATGGTCGGTCTCTGTTTCGCCTGGGACTGGCCTGTGATGGCGGCCTTGCTGCTCATGGGCTTCACGATGTTCCTCAGGCCTGGCGAGCTGCTGGCGTCACGCCGCTGTGACTTGTCGCTTCCTTGCGACCGCCTCGAAGTTGAAGGGGATGCTTTTCTTTCGATTCTTGTTCCAAAGACCAGGAGAACGTACCCGACGCAGCATGCTCGCTGCTCCGATCGGGGCACGGTGAAGATTCTGAATCAAGTGTTTGGGCGGTTGGCTTCCACCGATCCTCTCGCCCCTTTCGGTGCGAGCGGCTTCCGTACTCGGTGGAATCATTTGCTTTCGGCCCTGGGCGTCCCTCTTGCCAAAGCGGGTCAGGGGCTCAACCTGACGCCCGCATGTCTGCGGGGCTCTGGCGCAACAGACTTCTATATCGCTACGGAAGACGTCCCTCGCGTCTTCTGGCGGGGGCGTTGGCGTCAGGCTTCCAGTGCTGAGCGCTACCTGCAAGCCGCCGCCGCTTCCACAGTTCTTGCTGCGCTGCCCGTGCCCGCACGGGCGCGGATCCTGTTCTTCGCCACCGCCAGCGACCGCCTTGTCGCTTCATTTCTCCAAGTCGGCCCCGCCGCTTGGCCTGCCCTACTTGCGGCCGCCCGCCGAAACCTTGTCACTTCGCAAGGTCCTTGAGCACGGGTATGGCTGCCTCGCCGTCGTCGGCGAGCAGGCGGTCTCCCCCGCCTGACGCGCGGCGCCCCGGCACGAGCGCGCGGGACGGGCCTGCCCATTTTGGGCCGCCCCGCGCGCGCGCGCCGCGGCCGCGCTCGGAGACAGCTCGCTAGCGCGCGAGCGGGAGAATGCCTCTTCTATTCTCTGTGAGCAAGCTCCTGCTGTCTCCGCAGCTTCTCTGCCCCCCTCCCTCCTCTCCCAATCTAAGGCTGATGGGCGCTGCCTCGCCGTCGTCGGCGAGCAGGCGGACTCCCCCGCCTGACGCGCGGCGCCCCGGCACGAGCGCGCGGGACGGGCCTGCCCTTTTTGGGCCGCCCCGCGCGCGCGCGCCGCGGCCGCGCTCGGAGACAGCTCGCTAGCGCGCGAGCGGGAGAATCATCATCATCATCATCATCATCATCATCATCATTCACACCATCATCATCATCATCATCCTCTTCCTCCTCCTCATCATCATCATCACATTATTATTGATATTATTGTTGTTATTGTTATTGTTATTGTTATTGTTGAACATTATTACTTCTAAAGAATAATTATTGTTGGGGCCCCTGGTGCACGACCCCCCCGCCGCGCCTAGGCCGCAGCCTCATTTTCATCATTTTCGTGAGGAAGTCTCAGGCAAAACGATTGGTACCGGATCCGGTTGTTTTGTTGTAATCCGTTTTCCCTTGCAAAAAACATATAAAATGAAAATTCTTGTTCTTACTTGATCAAATTGCAAGAATCCCTTGCAAAAAATAAGGTAAAGTGGACATTCGTGCGCGCAAGACGAAATCCTTCCAAAACCTTAGGTTTCGTAGCGATTTTAACATAAAAACATCAAAAACCCAATGGTTTTTTAAGAAAAAATTGTCAAAATGTCCTTCCGCGCGCGCTGTCCGAATCCCACAAAACCAATGGTTTTTCAACATTTATGTTACATGAGCTCGCGCGAGCTACTTTTTCTTGTTCTAACATAATCAAATTTCAATAATCCCTTGCAAAAAATAAGGTACAGTGGACATTCGCGCGCGCAAGACGAAATCCTTCCAGAACCTTAGGTTTCGTAACGATTTCAACATAAAAACATCAAAAACCCAATGGTTTTTCAAAAAAAAATGTCCAAATTTCATCCCGCGCGCGCTGTCCGACTCCCACAAAACCAATGGTTTTTCAACATTTATGTTACATAAGCTCGCGCGAGCTACTTTTTCTTGTTCTTACATAATCAAATTTCAACATCCCTTGCAAAAAAAAGTAAAGTGGACATTCGCGCGCGCAAGACCAACAAAAAACACGACGATCTCAGGAACTTGCCCCAAAAATGTGACCAACTCCGCTCTCTCTGTCTCTCTCTCTGTCTGCTCTCTGTCTCTCTCTCTGTCTGTCTGTGTCATGTATTGTATGTCACAATTGCAGGATGCTGGGCACACGCGCGCCCCGAATAAGTGACCAAGTTCTGTGGGTGTGTACCCCACGCCAGTGTAGTAGCCACGGTCGTCCGCACGCCACGAAGTGAAGTGTCCCAACGTCATAGGGCGGGAAGCTGGGTTTGGGTGGTCGCGAAGAGTCGTTTGGATATTTGGTAGAGCTTGAACTGCCCCCCCACGAAGTGGGGGTATTGTCTCGCGTCGCATGAAAACCCTGGCACTGGTGAGAACACTGAGCGTTCGGGTAAAATGATTGTTGTTGTTGTTGTTGTTATTATTTTTATTATGGAGCCAGGCCGGGGCGGGGCGGGGCCGGGGCCAGAAACCGGGGCGCGGCCGGGCCGGGGCCGGGCCGGGGCCGGGCCGGGGCCGGGGCCGGGGCCGGGCCGGGGCCAGGCCGGGGCCGGGCCGGGGCGGGGGCCGGGGCGGGGCCGGGGCCGGGGCCGGGGCCCGGGGCCGGGGCCGGGGCCGGGGCCGGGCCGGGGCCGGGGCGGGGACGGGGCCGGGGCCGGGGCGGGGCCGGGGCCGGGGCCGGGCCGGGCCGGGGCCGGGGCCGGGGCCGGGCCGGGACCAGGGCCGGGGCGGGGCGGGGCGGGCCGGGGCCGGCGCCGGGGCCGGGGCCGGGGCCGGGGCCGGCCGGGGCGGGGCCGGGGCCGGGCGGGCCCGGGCCGGCGGGGCCGGGGCCGGCGGCCGGGGCCGGGGCCGGGGCCGGGCCGGGGCCGGGGCCGGGGCCGGGCCGGGGCCGGGCCGGGTCGCCGGGGGCACGCCGGGTTGAGAAGGCCTTGTCAACACCTTTCTGAATATTTGTGGGTAGTTTTTTTGACTATTTTTTTTTTTTCGCCCAAGATCGGCCTCTAGGGGCACAGGCCCGAGTTGAGCCTACCCTCCAGCTGCTGCCCCGCCGCCGCTGGTCCGGCCCCCGGCGCTCCCCCCCCCGCCGCTGTCCGGCCCGGCTCCCCTCTATCCCTCTTGCCCGGGCCGGGCCTCCTCTCCGTTCCCCCGTGCACTGCGGCTTCCTTCGCGCTTCGTACGTCCCAGCTGCGCCCCATCGCCAGCGCAGCGACTCTGCCTCGCCGCACACGGATAAAGAGGCTCTGTATGTGTGCGTGTGTGAGAGGGCTTGCGAGCATCTGAACACCGGCGTCGCGAGCCAGGATGGGAGCGGAGCGGGCGGGAAGGCTGGCGGCTCCGGGAGATGTCGGTGGCATGGCGAGCAGATGCCGCGGCTCCAGAGGCCAGCATTGTGGCGCAGCGCCTCCGCCGCTCTGCCCCTGTGAGCCCTGCCGTGTCCGCTACTGCCGTCTTCCTGCCGTCTCTCGTGGTGCCGGGCCTGCCATCATGGTTCACTGGCTGCCAGCATCAAGCAGTGGCGAAGCGTCCTGGCTCGCCTATAGCCCTATCAAACAATGTTCTAAGAACCTTTCTGTAGTTTCCACGAAATGTTCTTAGAACATTTCTGGCGTAGTTTGTCTTATTGTATCACATCGGGCTTATGTTCTAAGAACATTGTTTGGTTATCAGGACATGTTTGGATTCTAAGAACATTTCGTGGTAGGACTATAGGAATGCCGGGACGGTCGGTCCCTGCTCAACAGCACGGCCCGCACCTTTCTTCCAGTCCAAGTTGAGTGGTCTCGCCAAGAGTTTGAGCCACACGGGTACAGGCCGTGCTGGGGATCTTGGGGTGTGTTTAGACCGTAATGTTGACCGTCAGGGGCACGTTTTCTTTCCTCTGCCTGGTAGGTCATACTGATTTAAGTTGAGCCATGTTTTTCCTGTTGCTCCTTGGCTCCCTCTTCTCAATGGGCGTGGCATGAACTTGACTTGTCCAGTCTCCCCTTCGATCCGGCGGGATGGCGTAGTGTTGGATTATGGTGGTCCACCCCATTACGTTCTGCACAGTAGGATTCACAGACGAACATCTTCGATTGTCAAGTCGGCGAATGCGGAAGCATGGGATCCACAAGTGGTACTCCTCTGAATCGGAACATGTTATTCATGTGTGTTTCTTGGCATCGGGCAAGTGGAATCGTCACTAGACATGGCCTTACGTACGTCCTTTGTGTGATTGCTCTCAGTGCTCTCGTACACCGCGGGACGCCGATGGTACACGCTTTACGATCCGCTCGTGGGCCCACCCCGCAGCAAGATTCGGGGAAATGTAAGACTCGAGTAAGCCGGAACTCGGGTTTGCCGACTTCTTTTTTGACGAGCGCGTCCCGGATTTTGACGGTCCCGTGTTCGCGGGATGTCTGCAGCGGGAGCCCGCGTCAAATTTCAGATTGGGTCTCGTCATTTTCTGGGTAGTCGAAGGCCAGACTGTCAGATTGGATTGGGCCCCAAGGGCCAATCTGGCCCGGCCAAACTGGATGGTTTGGGTGAGTCGCCAGATTGGATCCGCGCTGGCCCCCTCGCCAGATTGCCCCCGCTTGCCAGATTGGGCCTGCCAGATTGGCGCCAGATTGGCTTCGACTACCCAGCGAGTCTTACGCCTCCCCGAAAGCTCGCGCATACGCCGCGCGTGCTGCGGCGCTCGGGCGACAGGCGCCCCCGGACGCGGACGCGGAGGTGCGCCGCCAGGCGTTCGCGAGCCTGTCCGCGGCCCAGGAGCCCACCCGGCACCGCGTGCAGATGCCTGGCATCGCTCGGACGTGTGCACTTTTCTCAGAGCCCCGAATCATCAGGGGTACCTCGGGTCAGGGTTAACTCGGGTTCGTTCTTCGGGAATCCGAGCCCGAGTTACCCCGGATAATTCGGGCGTCCAGAGCCCCACATCGTCAGGGGTAACTCGGGTCAGGGCTAACTCGGGTTCCTGTTTCGGGAATCCAAACCCGAGTTACCCCGGACCCGAGTTACCCCGGATAACTCGGGCGCCCAATTTTCCTTCGGCGAGGACCATCGAGGAGCATCCTTGATCCTTTGGCGAGAAAAAACCCAGGCACGAAACCGAACAAGAGCGCAGGGAATGGGCGTCCGAGCGATGGCCAGGACGTGTCGGCCTGGCCGCAGCAGGGGGGGCAGGTGCGCCACGCGCTGAGCGGCCAGGGGCATCTGATAGCGCGGAGGCGGAGCGGAAGGAGAGGCGACGGAGACACGGAGGGGCAGTGGATTCGGGCAGGGCTCGCCCCCACACACATCCCGCAAGACACGTTTTCCATTTACAGCAGCAGTGTTGTGTCAGTAATTCATGAATGCAGGGGCTTGGTATCGCTCGGACGTGTGCACTTTTTCTTCGGCGGGGATTATTGAGGAGCATCCTGGAGCATCCCGCGAAAAAAACACGCACGAAACCGAAACACACAGAGGGAACGGACGTCCGAGCGATGGCCAGGTGTTCTTTCAGTTATTCGTGAATGCAGGGGAGGATCCTTCCCGGGGGGTTCTAGAAGAGGATGCTGGGAAGGGCCTCGCGGAAACGACTGCTAGGTTACAACCGCTCGTGCCCACCCCGTGGATCTACATCACGTGCTCCGACAGCCTCCCTCCTCCTCTCACTCGCCCGCGAACGCAGGGGAGGGCGGTCCCCCCACATCCCCCCCCACCCTCCTTCTCCGCCCTCGCTGCTCCGCCGCCTCCCTCCCTCCCTGCCCCGCTCAGCCGACGAGAAGTGCAGACCTCCCCCCCCCCGCCCCTCTCCTCTGGGTCCTCCGCCTCCTCCGCCTCCGCCTCCGCCCCAGGCTCTCCCACCCTTCCCCTCTTCCCACTCCGCCACCTCCCTCCTCGTCCTCACCAGGCAGCTTCCAGCCAGCTTGTCCCAGCCCTCTACGACGCCTTCTCCTCCTTCATTATGTTTCCATCTTCGCCATCCTCTTCGCCTCCCCTCCTGCGTCACCTCAAGCCTCATCGCGTCTCTTCCTTCTTTTCCTTCTCCTCCATATCCTCCTCCTCCTCCTCCTCCTCCTCCTCAGACCCCCTCGCCCCTCGAACTCCCTGGCCCCGCACCCTCCCTCCTTCCCTTCGCATTCGTTTTCACTGTTCCTCCATCCCCCGTCCTGTTCCTTACTCTTCTTGGCCTTCTGCGCTCCCCTGGAGAGGAAGCAACCGCTCCTCAGACTCCTTCCAACCACCCCTTCCTGCTCTCATCCGGGCCCCGCCCCGCTTCAGGCCAGCTCCGCGCGGGTGCAGCTCGCTCCCAGAGCCAAACGCCCGAAGGGGGGCCGAAGACAGCGGCGCGTCTCTCTTTTCGCGCACCCTGGCCAAGCAGTTGTCCTCCGAGGCGGGGGTTTGTCCATACCCACCGCTTGCGGGATCGAGCTCCAGGGGCCTGGGCGGGCGTTGGATATGGATCTATGTAGTGGCCCTGGCGGAGGGCCAAACATGAAAAACACTGAAACCAGGAAGGTAATTATCACTTAACTCCGAAGTTAAGTGATTTCTCATTTTGTATTGCTACCACCTTCACGACGACTTACCTTCGCAGTTAAGTCATTCTATGAGTGCTGCTTCCACCCGGCCGCAAAATCACTTAACTCTGGAGTTAATTGATTCCGCGGGCCGCCCCTGCCCTTCATTCGGCCCAGGAAAAAGCGAAAATGGAGGGTTGCAAAGGGGAAGGACAGGGAAGGAAAAGGGTTGGAAAAAGGAAAGAAAAGGGAAGGAAAAGGGAGGGAAAAGAGAGGGAAACAGGGATGGGACAGGGAGGGAGAAGACAGGGAACAAGGGAGGGAAAAGAGGTAGAAAAAGGGAGGGAAAGGGAAGGAAAAGGGAGGGAAAAAGGAGGGAAAAGAAAGAGAAAAAAGGATGGAAAAGGGATGGACTAAATTATGGGAAAAGGCAAGGACAGGGGGGGAAAAGGGAAGGAAGGGGAGGGAAAAGGGGGGAAAAAGGGAGGGACATGAAAAGAAAAAGGGAGGGAAAGGAAAAGGAAAGAAAAAGGGAGGGAACAGGGAAGGAAAAGGGAAGGAAAAGGGAAGGATAGGGGGGGGGAAGGGAAAGAAAAGGGAAGGATAGGGGGGGGGGGGAAGGGAGGGAAACGGAAGGAACAGGCAGGGAAAAGGGCGGGAAGGACGGGAGGAAAAGGAAGGGAACAGATATGGAACAAGTAACGGGAAAGAGAGGGAAAAGGGAAGGAAGGGAAAATGGCAGGGAAAACGGTAGGGAAAGGAAGGAAAAGGAAGGGAAAACGGTAGGGAAAGGACGGACAAGGAAGGGAAACGGGAGGGAACATGTACGACAAAGGATAGAAAATGGAAGGATTGGGGAGGAAACGGGAGGGAAAAGAAATTAAAAACGGGAGGGATAAGGAAGTGAAAAGGAATATAACATATAAAGAAAAAGGAAAGGAAAAGGGACGGAAAAGGCAGGGAAAAAGGGAAGGAAAACGGGAGGGAAAAAACGAGGGATAGGATAGGGGACGGAAAGAAAACAGGGAGGGAAAATGGAAGGACATGGGGAGGAAAAGCGATGGAAAATTGAAAAAGGGAGGGGGAAGGGAGAGAAAATGGATAGGAAAAAGGGGGACAAGGGAGGCCCCGACAGAGCGGGCAGGGCATTGGAATACCATACTATGTACACCGTTTCGCACCCGCCCCTCCGGACCCCCAAGAATTCTCAGATATTCCTGAGGGGTTCCTGCGGGTTCCAAAGGATCCCCGATGATTCCTAAGGGAACCCTCAGGATTCCCAGCGGTTCCTCAGGGGGCCGTGAGGATTCTGAAGGTTCCTCAGGGGGTCCTGGGGATCGAGGGATTCCTACAGATTCCTGGGGATCCGAAGGATTCCGACGGGATTCCTACGGATTCCGAAGGATTCCTAAAGAATTACTACGAGGTTTCATTGGATTCTTGAGATTTCTAAAGTCCTGGATTCCGCATGCCGCGTTCCTGGATTCCAGATTTCCTACAGTTCGGGGCTTCTATAGATTCTTTGATTTCTATGGGTCCCAGGAAATCTTCGAGTTTCAACGATTCCTGGGTTCCTGGCGTCTAGGCTTTTCATCAATTTCTGGATTCTGGTCTTTCCATTTCCAGGATTTGCAGGAATTCCATGGAAATCCTTCCGTGACGGCTCGGGAAGCCCGCCGTCTTTCCAACGTTTTTCCGCCGCCCCCCGCCGCCTTTCCGCCTTTCCGCCGTCGTTGCGCCACCCTTCCGCCACCCTTCCGCCGCCCTTCCGCCGCCCTTCCGCCACCCTTCCGCCGCCCTTCCGCTGTCCTTCCGCAACCTTTCCGCCGCCCTTCCGCCGCCCTTCCGCCCTGCCGCCGCACTTCCGCCGCGCCCTTCCGCCACCCTTCCGCCGCCCTTCCGCCGTCCTTCCGCCACCTTTCCTCCGCCCTCCGCCTGGGCAGACCTCAATGGTACTCAAGGTAGTGACCGCCTCCTCCATCGCACTTCATAGCGTATCATAGCATGGCACTGCATATCATATTAAAGCATAGCGTTGCATAGCCATGGCAGAGCAAAGCACTGCATAACATTGCATCATAGCATCGCATAGCACTGCAGAGCACGTCATAGCATCGCATAGCATCGCATGTCATATCATAGCATGGCATTGAATTGGTTTTTGAGGCATAGCATTGCGTAGCATCGCAGATCATAGCATAGCACTGCATAGCAGATACGCGCATGTTTGAAGTATCGCGCCTATGGGGAGACGGAGAAGGATGAGGAGGAAGGAGGAGGAGGAGGAGGAGGAGGAGGAGGAGGAGGAGGAGGAGGAGGAGAGGAGAGGAGGAGGGGAGGAGGGAGGGAGGAGGGGAGGAGGAGAGGAGGAGGAGGAAGAGGAGGAGGAGGAGGAGGAGGAGGAGGAGGAGGAGGAGGAGGAGGAGGAGGAGGAGGAGGAGGAGAGATACAGGAGGAAAGAGGAGGGAGCAGGGAGGAGGAGGGGGAGGGGGAACGAGGAGGAGAGAGGAGGAGGAGAGGGGGAAAGAGGAGGAGGAGGGAATATATGGTCCAGGGCTTGGGCCCCCCCCCCCCAATGCTAATACCATCGGGTCCCCCCCCCCGCGCGATCCTGTTGGCGTTGCGTGGTGGCCCTCCCCCTGTGGAGGTGGTGGCCCCCCTGAGGACGACACCGACGACGACGACGAAGACGACGACGACGACGACGACGACGACGGCGGCACGGGCGCCGGCGACGACGACGACGACAGCGTCAGCATCGGCATCGGCATCGGCATCGGCATATGCATCGCCGTCCCAGGCATGACGTAAAACTGCTACACTTGACGGAGGGGAGGTGCCAAGCTTTAATCGTGCATAACAGCCGTAATCAGTTTGGGCTGGCCTCTTCCGATGAAGTCAAGTGCGCGCTCAATCTGGCGTGCGCCCGCAGGTTAAAAGCCGGGGCGGAACGATTGCGTCCTCGGCGCGATTTTCAGTGCCCCTATTTAGGGGGAGCTAGCGCTTTTTTTTTGGGGGGGTTCTGTTCCGTCCTTAGACACGCGGCCCTCTGTTGTCACGTAGCGTTCGTGGCGTGCCGGTGCGCGCAACAGTTGTGGTGTTTCTGTGTGTCCTTGGTTTCCCTTGCGTTCTTGGGCAACGCGCTGTGGTTGAGGCCGCTTGCACTGGGGACCCTCTGCACATGCAAAAGAAAGATTAGGAGGCGGCAAGAGGGCATGCGGAGAGGGGAGGATGATGTTGACGACGACGATGAAGTTCATGATG